GTACAGCAGCAGAATTCCTGAGCCAGGATTCTGGGAGTTGAAGTCCACACATCTTAGAGTTCCCAAGGTTGAGAAACACTGCTATAGATAGTCCACAAGTTCACTTTCAGATCTTCTATAGCTCACTGTCATGTTCTAGTTCATTATCTGGGAATTTCTTGCTTGAAAATTATTTTTCTTCATAAAAGTTTTATATTTTCTTCAAAAACTTGTAGAAGCACATGAATAGTGTTATTAGCAAAGGTGAAGGCTTGGTGGTAGTCTTCCACCAATTGCTTCCATTTTATTTTTCATTATTGTTATAGAGTCACCCTAGAAGCATATCTTTTTGGATGAGGCTGGTCTGATTTTTGTACAAAATTCTTGCACATGAATTTTCAATTTTCCTTTTGATATTTGGGTGAAACAAACTGAAAGATTTATTATATACAAGCATATCTTGTTGGTTGTTACTTTTCAAATAAATGTTTATACTTTTTAGAAACTGCTACCCCTAATTAATATAAGAACAATGATCAGGAGGTATAATTTGTCAACATGAAAATGGATCACTATGTATAGTTTTTAAAAAATCAGAATTAATAAAAGTGTTTATTTTTATTTATAACATGGTTGCTTCTTTTATTGATTTCAATCTCTGGATGTTGAATGTCCAGATATAATAAGCTTCTTATTCATAAGTGATGTACAAAGTCACAGGATTTCTTCTCACTTCTTACCTAGTGAATTTCCACTAAGGGTGTGCAGAGACCAAGTTATTTGATTTGAGGGCATGATCCAGAGCTCTGAGAATGGTCAGGTCCAAATCTGGTCACTCCAGGGATAGTTCACTCTATTATTGCAGAGCAAAACAGGGGGAAACAAATCCATTCTCTTAGTTCAGTATAAACTGATATACAGTACAATTAAATACAAAATTATCAAACACAGAGAAAAACAAATTTTGCTAATGGATAATCAACAAGGTTTGTACAAAGTTAAATTCTGTTTTATCTGCCAGCAATACCCCTGTGTTCTACAGAGGACAAAGGGCAAGGACATCCCGTGGACAACAATGGCATGTATTGTCAAGGGCATGGTTTTCCTAGTTATATATGGCTGTGAAACCTGGGCCATCTGAACCATCTGAAAACCCAAACAAAGAAAAATTGATACCTTTGAATTGTGGTACTACCAAAAAAAAAAAAATGAATACCTTAGACTACAAGAAGAATAAACCATTCAGTCTATAATTCAGTAAAACCAGATTGCTCATGGAAGCACTAATGATGAAGCTCAAATTTAAGTATTGGAAACACAGCATGGGAAGGCAAAACTCACAGGAGAAGATCACAGTGTGATGCTTGGAAAAATTGAAGGTAATTAAAAAAAGAGGCCAAGAGAAGAGAATGTGACTGGATATTATCACTAACAACAAAGTGTGAGCTTATAGGAACTCAAAGAAGTAGTTACTGTCAGACAACCTTGGAAAATGATTTCCATCAAGTGGGAAAGAGTTGGAGGTAATTGAAAACTGAACAACGAATTGGAAAGAGATTTTGACATTATGGCAAAGAGTTCCATGAAAACGTAGGCCAAGGACACAGCCATTGTGAAAAAATAGCTTCCATGATGCAGATCATTAAGAAAGGAACTAAGACTATCAATAATATAATACTTTTACATAAATCTATAATGCAGCTTTAATAATGGTATATTGTATGTACTTCTGGTACATACATGAAAAAGACATGAAAAAAGTTACTGTGGAACTGCATGTTTCTTTTTCAGTTGCCTTTGGTGTTGTTAGAACTGTTATCCTCGTTCTACTTCATTTATTAATTTTTCTTTCTGAAATGTTTTAATTTGATTGTATTATGTCATTATTTTTAACCACTTTGATACAAGTCTGGTAATGTCCAGTGCCCAATCTAAGAAAGTGTTGTCTCCTAAGATAAAAATAATACCTCTCTTAAATCAAGCTGGACTAAGATTACATGTTACACAAAATGGACCCTGTTGTGGTTTGTGAAGATGTTACCTAGCTGGGTAACGAAATGTTTGCAAGAAAACAAACAAGCTCAGAGAACCCCAAGGACTTCACAGTTCAACCCTGAGCTACACATATTCACTTCTATTGGTACCTGTTGTGGTCCCCACCCCGGCAACAATACACACGCACACACTTCTCGGTGATCTATAGCCCATCCAAGAGCTGAGGTCACAAGAGCATCATGAATTGATAGTTGTTGGGCTGACTCTAGAGAAGTGTTTAAATGTAACAGAATTCTAACCCTGGTGAATGAAGAAGACATAGGAGCAATCTTTGTCCTTCTTTCCCCCTGCAGTCTCTAGTAAAAAGCTGCTCTGAAGAGCTTGAGAATCCCTCCTTGAGAAACCATAAGAAGCAACACAAGGAGCTTTAGAGAGGAGCAGAAATGTCATCTCTATCTCTATTTATTCCAATGGGTACCTGTTGCCAAGCAATGAAAATACAATTTTTATCATATTTCTATGGGCTTTTGGTAACTCAAGTGAACAGAATGGAAGGAGGTCCACATTTCATAAATTAAAATACAGGTAGTTCTCACTTAGCAACTGTAACTGGGACTGGCAACTCTGTCACTAAGTGCCATGGTAGCTAAGCAGAAAATCACGTGACCATGATGGGCTTATAATGTCACTTCCCATTTGGTTGTTCTGATGTTCACAGAAACATGATGTGACTGCAACTTACGACTGTACTTCCATGTTCTCCATTAACTCTGCTTGTTACTAGCTGATAGCGAAGCATGTGAATGGCGATCACGTGACCATGGGACGTTGTGATGGTCGTAAATGTGAGGACTGGTCGCAAAGCTTTTTTTTTAACACTTGTAATTTCAAATGGTCACTAAACAAGGCAGTTGGTAAGCGAGGACTACCTGTATAAGTAACATTGCAACCATCTAGCATTCAGCATGTTTAAAAGACTGGATGTGCCTCCCTCTAGAGGTCAGCAATGTGCATGAAATAACAACAGCTTAAATAAGAAACAGTTTGAAAAGGCATTAGTCTGAAATACAGACCGTGTCAATTACTGACTGTTCATACGCAGTCAGTTAGAAGGCAGATTTGTTTTTCAAATATGAGGCTATTTTTTTTACATCAAATGCATGCTTCCACAACTCAATTTGCCCGTACAAGTAGTTCTGTCAATGAAACTGTTCCTCATCTCTTATGTTAGAAATGATATTTTGCATATTATAGGTGTGTAGTATTAAGAGAAAGTATGACTTTGGGCCTTAAGCTAATTCCTCAGGATCAATCAAAAATTGGAGTTTGGGTATACCTCCCTTCACTGCCAGAAGCTGTGTGCAGTCTGTGTCTGGGTGGGAAAGGGTAGAATTCTTTCTCTTGCAAAAAAAAGAAAGAAAAAAAGTTGCTTATCTAGATAGGCTTATTTGTTACTATCTAGAAAAGAGCCTTTCCATCTGTATAATGACTGAAAAAATTATGGCTGCCTTGGATTTGATCTATCTCATTCTAAGCAGCTTTTCTCTAGTGCAAGAAGAAAACAGCCCTATAAACTGGTGAGAAGAATGATGGGAAAAAAAACCCCATTTATAGAAAGGAGGAATACATTTCCATGTAGTGACAAATGCAATAGCTGGAAACAAAGGGCGCTAACCCAAATATTGTTCAAGGATTTTCAGTGCTTAATAGTATCCTGTCCAATGCATTGTAAAAAACAAACTAAGGGACAGATAACAATTTTATATATGCAATCAATGTGAAAAGCAGGACTCAGTCAGGAAGAAACATCACAGGCAATCATGTCTCCAAATCTTGAAGTAAGATTTGTGTTCATTGCTCAAATGAACAGGGTACCACTTTGTTCTGCTTTTGCAAAATGCCTTCTGATGTGTGATTTTTTAAAAATTTGATCTGGTTATAAAAGGAGGAAAGAATTTAGATTTTATATCACCAGAAAGATTACTTTTTAGTAGTTGGCATGGATTATCTTCATTTTCCAGCTCAGTTCCTTCAGTTCATAAGATCCCTTTAAACTATTTATAAATCTATTTCTGGAGGTAGCATTGATAAATCATACAAACCTGAAGCATAATTCCTAGGAAGATTGTGGCATATAACATTGCTCAAACCAAGAAGCAATAAAGCCACTATATTTTATTCTTTCAGTATATAACAAATGGCATATGATTTCCTGTATATTGAAAATATATTTTCTTATTCAATTTTTAACTAAAATATAAAAGTACAAAATGTGATTTGTCCCTCAATTTTTAGGTTTTGCAATTAAAATTATAGATTCAAATATTTACCACTACATAATTTTAGTTGTAGAGTATCAGGGCTGAAATTAAGGTACAGAAACTTTCCAGATTCAAGGCCTGTGAACTTAAATCCAAATTAATTTCAAATTTACATAAATGTGTATAGATAAGCATTAATACACCCAGATTCAGCATGCCTTCACTACTTCCTGCTGTCCCTGGCAGAAGGGTCTTAGGAAGTGATAGACCATATTTAGTGTTGTTGGTTTGGCAAGTGCTAGAGCTGAAATTTAATTCTCTGAATATATCTGGAGGGAATGAAAGAGCAATTCAGACAGTCTCTTAGAATAAGTATGATATTCACAATGATCTTTGGGGGTCTGGAATCAATGGGAAAAATCAGTGTAAGAGTTTTATCTTCAGAAAAGCAAAGCAAAACAGCCTTGAATGTATGTGTGATTTCCATTTTGACTAGAAGCCTCAATGCGGTAGCTGTTTGAAATGTTACTTTTTTCTGTTGGAAATCTCTCCATGTGGGCAA